AGGAGGTTACCTCGTCGCGGTCGGTCTGTTAACTGCGGCGAGGCGTTTACGAGCTTCCTAAGCAATAACTAAAGTTTCTCGGTCGACGCTGTTTCACAGTCCGTCTGTTCGTTCCTCAGGAAAACCTCACCTTTGCCAACCGCCTGGTATCTAATCCTCCCATGACTCATCCCCCCAGCCAGAGGGTGGCACTGCGTCATTCATCGTCTGACTGATTAAACCAAGCATGACCGCTAGTCAGCCGGGCGCATATCCCTCCACAGCTTGCACCTAGCTTAGATGAACTCAGCTGAGTGCCGTTATCCATTTGAATGCATGTGGCACATTACGATGCGCAGCATGATCAACGCTAAGAGTCAGCCCCTTCTACCAGACATGACGATCACAATCATCGAAACAACCAATAATTTACCCACGTTGTAAATTCTTCGGACGCGAACACAGTTAAGTCAAAGGCGCTATTACAACGGCGCAAAAACGCTAATCCTGCCGACGATGGTCGGTAGAATTTTACTTTCAGGTTTAAGCAAAGAATCGACCGGATAAGAGATGCAGGATGAGGTACGGTCATACAAGGCCAGCTGACCAATGGAGATAGTGCCGGACGAAAACCGGCAAACCCACCTATCTCAGTCGACAACGGATGAACAGATGGACAGCCGGACTGGTCTGTTCAGTGAGGCGACTGCGGCAGCAGAAACGGAAGCGTAAACGGACCAACCACAGAACGAACGGACGTAGGGGGTGACGGCAACTGTTCGACGCATAAACGCGTGACGCAGTGATGCTTTCAATAACGCATGCCACCGGTGTCGGTGAATCACCTGTATTTGAAGTTCCCGAATTCCTACGTTCGGCCGCCGCCTGGTCGTCATGTGAGGCAAATGGCATTAGCGAGAACCGAGGCAAAAGCCTGGAACTAAAACCGAAGCTTAGCTGACGAACGCAGGGAGTGGATGAAGCCGAAAGCCGTGCAGATGACCTAACCGCACCATCGACTGCGACCACTGTGTTACTGTCTGTCTTTGTGCCTCTGCGAGTGCGTATGCTGTACGACGCGACGACGCATAGCCTCAATGACCAACGAGTGAGTGTGCACGTGATGAATGAGTAACCGCTGAACAAAGAAAACGTCCCCCCCCCCTCCG